GCGAGGTGGGTGTCGGTCTCTTCTCCCAAGTAACAAGCGATAGGATGAGAGGAAATGGCCTCAAGTTGCGCCAGGGGAGGTTTAGATTGGATGTGAGGAAAAATTTCTTTACTGAAAGAGTGGTGAAACATTGGACCAGGCTGCCCAGGGAAGTAGTGGAGTCCCCATCCCTGGAAGTATTTAAAAGACATGTAGATGTAGTGCTTAGGGACATGGTTTAGTGGTGGACTTGGCAGTGCTAGGTTAATTGTTGGACTTGATGATCCTGAGGGTCTTTTTCAACATAAATGATTCTGTGATTCTATTCTATGAGTCTATAAATGAGCTCACCATGGCTATTAAAGAGGATCATATGATTTCATTTAGTTTTGTAATATTTTTAGTGCTTGTATGTTACATTTAGCTTGAACTTATTCTTGCTTCTCAAAGTGGCATTTCTTAATAGCAACATTATATAGGTTAGTGATAGAGAAAAATAATTAGTAATTTTTAGTGTTCAAGTTGATAAGTCATGAAAAATGTTCTATCATTTTTTTGATACTGTTCCACTGTTTACTTGGGCAAATACTGGAGTCTTACATCACAGTTCAGTAAGTATCTCTTTCTGTAACAACCCTCCCATTTATATAGTTCTGCTTGCTTTTTTCTTTTCCTTGACCTTACCAATTATGCCCATACATCTGTTTGTGGGGTCATGGGGCAAGTCTTATTGGAGAAATGATTCATATAAAAAATGAAGTGGCAAAAAAATGTAGTTGCTTTTATCAGTAAGTTCCCGCATCCCTTTTGCCACATGGCCCCACAAGTATTTGTATCAATACATTTCAAGGGCATTGCGGAGGCTGGTTCTGTTTGTTCTAGCATTGATGCCAAAACCCATATTCATTAAACCACACCCTTATTTGTAGGTCTTTAGTCTAGGCAACAAATACAGAATAAAGATTTTACTCAGATTTTTTTCAAGAGAACAACCACATATGAATGCCTGAACCAAAACTAGTGAACTAATATATAAAGATAGATTATGGACTTGTTAATACCTAATTGGCTTGAATATTTTTTTAAGATGACCTTTTTGTGTGTTGAGATAGCTTTACAGCCTGTTCTAAGTAGCACATAAATTGCCAAGTCTCAAGATCAATGAATAGGCGGCACTCTATTCTAGGAGTCATTCTATAAAAGGAAAATTGTATACTATAATTTTCTGGGCTCGTATGTTACTCTGAAAGAGAAAAAATAAATGGATGCAAAGCTTATATTGCTTTTTATGTTTTCACTTCCATAGTTATCCAACTGAATGGAAAGCTGTTCATGCAGGCAAGTTCAGTATGTTTAGGCAACCTCTGTTATTAAAGAAATTGTGCATGTACCGAACCTAGCAGTTGAAAGCAGCAAGTCTTTGTAATCCTGGAAACTGAGACTGTACCAGTTCTTAATGTATGATTTTTCAAGAAGAAATAAGGAAAGAAACACCGGAAATCCGTAAGCTTGGAGTTTAAGATTTGAATTGAGACAGCAGGTGGAGCTGAAGGAGTTGTGCTTTTGAACCACTGCAGAAAGAATAGGATATGAATGAATCAAAAGAAAGAGAAGTGCAGAGCTTTTGTTGTGTTATTTGATAAAGAAAAATTCCTGCAGGATACAGTCATGTTGTCTTCTGAAGAAAATGAAATTGTTTAAAATGAGCATAAAGCATATATTAGAAAGTTGTGAGAAAGGAATATTTGTCTGTTTAAATATTGAGCTGAAATGGGATTTTTTTGAAAAAAAAAAAAGTATCTGCAGAATTTTTATATCAAGATTTTTGCATGTTTCATGGAGAGGCCTGAAGTTTTGAGGAGCAGATTTTTGTTTCTTAATTTTTATGTTTTACTTTGATTTTAGAAGAAATGGTCAATTAAGTACTGACAAACTAGGTTTGCATTTCAATTTCTTTCGTTTTCAGTTCATTAAAAGGATAAGATAAATGTACAAGTAGTCTTTCATCTAGTATACAGGAGGAATAACCAATCCAGTTTTGCATTCAATTTTGTTATGAATTTCATAGAAATCTATTTCTGAGGTTATAGATTATTTCAGAATACTCTCACTGACGGGAATGATGCCAGATAGATTGTTTATGCAACATGGATCTTTATCCATGGCGTGCAAGTGCTATTGACTTAGGAAAGTCCATGTTTCTTTCCAGTGCAAAGAAACATCAGATGGCAGGTAAAAAGAAGAAAAAAGTAGAAGTAAACAGAAGCATTATACTCAAATATAAAAAATATGTGAGAAAATTTAAATGATATTGAAATGTTTGCATGATCACGATCTAACTCTGAAGACTAGTATTTCAGTTTTATCTTTGTGTTTATTTATATAATTAGAATTATTCATAATTTTTAGACCACAGTCATACATATTTTTAAGGAGAAAAATAAAACTGACTTTTTTGGAGGGAGACTTATTTATATTTTACATTTTTAGGTCTATTACATTTTTCTAGGTCTATCATTTGAAAAGTTTTTAAATCTCATGAGTGCAAAGAAGGCTGCACAGTTATACAGTAATGAAACAAGGCAAATATTTACAGCTTTTGATGTGCAAGGTAAGTTTTTTCTCCTAAATATTTGGAGTATTAATTTAATTCTAAAACAATTAAGCAAAACAGAACACCTGAAGGAAATAAAAAGAAGTTAAGATGGGATGTCCTGGATGCTGCATAGTTAAGTAAAACAGTACCAGAGTAACAAAAATCATGATTATATTACTATAAATGAAGTCAGGGTCAGTAGGCTACGGCATTCTAGATGGTAGCTCTGGATTGTCTGTTGTACTCTGAGCTCCTCCAGCTGTTAAAAGAAATCTCTATCCATTCACTCTACCTACTTGCTGTTACTACCTCCCATTATTTCTCTGTTACTCATGCTCATATATCTCCACTCATTTATGCCATGTATTTTACAGATTTCTGTCCCTGGTGATGGTTATAGATCTTTTTTACTTCTCAGGATAGACCAAGGAAGGGAAACCAAAGCAACAAGGATTTTTTCTCATTCTTGGGAAGTAGATGTGGTGATTCTTTTTCGATCCTGCTAGACAGCAGAGGGTCTCCCATGACCAAACTGAAAAAAGGAAAACTTCATCGGCAGCCTCTGAGCTGATGGACATTCGGATGTTCCTTTGCCTTTTTCTTCCTGACCTAAGATAGGACTATGGTCCTTGAAAAGAGGGAAAGTGAAACATATGGCAGATCGGATGTTGGGATGATCAGATAAGCATCCACTCAGCTTTTTGCCATGAACTAAGAGTAGCTTTTGAAGTGTTATTTTTAGTGAGTTATTTCAAAGGACTTAACTGTTTCAAGCACTGTGCTTTTGTTTGTCTTGCTATCTGCTGCACGCAATCTGTGATAACCCTGTTTGAGATGCTTTAATTTCCAGTTGGATCTGGAAGTGAATTCATAACCTAAGTGATTGATCAGTTGATATTACTCTGATACAATGTATTCAGGATCTTAAGTCTGCAGCAGGATTAAATTGAAGGAGAAATTTTTTATGAAAGAAAATTTTTGAAACACAATGCTCAGAGTAACTAAGATGTCAATGAAAATGATAGACTTGAAATGTAATTTTGCATATTTTAGAGTCTATATTTTCAAAGTTTTGCAAATCTGAAATTTTCAATTCAAAATGTCTACTTTTAAAATTAAAACATAAATAATAGAGATGTAGATGTTGTAGGCACAGTGCTTTTGAACAGGGTTCACAGTGGCAAAAAGGAATTGTCAGCATAAAATCTTCCTTAGACTGTTCGTCTATATAATGTAGCCATCGTAAAATATTTTGTGAATACAGAAACTTAAAGAGTGTATAATCATTTCAGAAATGTGAATTGATTGGCTCACATGCAAACATAATTGTATTAAGTAGTTTAAAAAAAGCCTTAATTTATATTATTTTTCTCTTGCCTAATCTTGATTTAAAAGATAGAGGATTTTTGACTTCTGAAGACTTCAAGAAAGCCTTCAATTCTGTTTCTCCTAAATTATCTGAAAGAATCATAGTTGAAGTCTTCAGGTAAGATTAACAAGAGATCCTTATTCCTGGATAGCAGGCTTTTTGTTGTATATATTTCATTTAATTGAAATCATTAGATTCTCTCATGCAACTGAATCATAGAATCATAGAATCATAGAATCATTGAGGTTGGAAAAGACCTCTAAGATCATCGAGTCCAACCGTCAACCCAACACCACCATGCCCACTAAACCATGTCCCTAAGCGCCTCATATAAATAATATGTGTAAATAATATATTAGTTAATATAAATTGTATAAATAGAAGTAATAAAAATAATTAATTAAAATAATAAATATTACCAGATACAGAAAGTAATTTGTTGCCTGTACTGTTTCTAAGAAGCCTAAAACTATTTGCTTTTACATTTTCCTCCTGTAATCAGGAAATCTGCATTCAACAGCTGTCTCTTGAAAAATTCAGTTAAACTGTAGTGCATATTGTGAGGCAGTAGCGGTGAGATTTTTTGCAAGGTGAGATTGGCTCAGAAGTGAAAGGACAAAATTTTGAGAGTAATTTGCAGATCATAAAAAACTGATCTTACCTCTGCAGTCATCAGTAAACATTATTTTAAAATTTTTTTGGAAAACATTGCATTGCAAAGTGTAAAACTTTCTTTTTGTCATGTGAATGATATGTTTGGAAGTAACTGTCATTGAGAGAAGTCCTTCACTTTTGAAGACATGGCATCAGATAGCTTGCTGAGCACTATCTTTAAAAGGTGGTGTTGGATTTTAGGTTGGTTTTTTTTTTTGCAGTTGTCTGGGTTTTTTTTTTTGCGGATGTCTGGAGTCATGATACAAAGCATTATAGCAGAACAGGAATTGGTCTGTACATCTTTCAAGCAACTGGCATGCAATAGCCATACATCAAAGTGTAGAGTGACTAATGTCTTAGATGATACTCTTGTGTTTTTGCACTAAAGATGTAATATATTTGGGGGAGAGTAATTATTTTAAGAAGGTTTGAAAAGTTAGGTGGTATGTTTTTCTTGATGTCCAAGTGATTTTACTATCACTTTTTGGTATATTGTCAAGAAATGAATAGGCAAATGTAGGTAGAATAGCTTGAGGTGTTATCCTTTTAAAATATTTTTTTAAGGACATCTATGAAGGGCCTGATGTTCAATTTTTCTGTCCAGTGATTAAAATGGTTTTCTTGAATATTAATGCTTTTTAGGTCAGAAAAGCATATGTAGTTGCTGTTCATATTGTTTTATTTTGCATTTTTACATACATTTTTTCATTATCTTTCTCATTTGAAAAATTGTGAAATAAATTCAGACTTAACTTCATACTGTACAATAGTTCTGAAAACTTTTGGCCCATCTTTCTGTCAATGAAGCTTCCCAATTTCAAATTTAAATTATAATCATGATGAATTTAATAAATGAAGGAAAATTCAACCAAATGTTACAGTATACTGTGTATCTAAGTAAAGAAGACATGTCACAATCAACAGTAGCTCTAATGCTAGCATATTAGTCTGTAAATATCACAGTCCAGCAAATGAAACTTGTGATTGCATATCTATGAATGAGGCCTGGAACCTGAAGAGAAACATAGAAAAATTTCTTTTTCAGGAAGTTGTTTGCATGTTTCTTTGGCTACTCTTGAAAGAAATTGCACAATAGTATTGAGTAATACAGATTTCTTTAGGATTGAACAGGCCAAATCTGCATGGAACTCTTCAGAATTGTAATTTGAAATCAGAGTCCTAAATCCTCTTTTAGTTACACATCCTTTTTGGATATTTCTTTTAACTCTTGGTGTGTATGCTGAACTTTATGTAAGGAAACAGAGCTAAGACTTTTGTCCTAAATTGAGCTGTGCAATTGGATTAAAACTGTATGAAAAGAAAGCCACAGGGAATATTTTGGACATAGATATTTATCAGAAGCTTCAATGCATTTGTGGCGCAAAATCCGTATTACAATGGATTGCTAAAACATACAGAGCATATATAATTTCATATTTGTAGATAAGTTTCTTGTTCTTCCCTCTTTTTAGTACAGAGATCAAAATTAAGTTTTGGGAGTGAACATAGTTTTAAAATATTTATGTCGTGTTAAGTAAAATAATTTACAATACATATACAGGTAAGAAGTTTAGCATCTTTAGGTGTGATGACTCTGATCAAGTGTGAGTTCTAAAACTATGTCTATATTAGCAATTAATACAGGACATAGGGATCAGGTCTGTAGGGCAAGAAGTTTATGCTGGGGACCCAGTATCTGTATGACATTCATTGAGGGAGTTACTTGGACTAATTCTAGTCTGGTCAACAGACTGAATGATCACTAGAAGTTGGAGTGCTTTGGGTGCATGCCAGGAGCACATCTTTCAGTTTAATTTCATCTGGAAGGAATGCAGTTTGTATACTGCGATCACTGTGATGTTAACCATAGTACAATCAGTGGGGAAGACTGGGAGATTCAACTCAAAGGAGCATTCCAAATCTCAAGTAAAACAAAGCGACTTATTGAGACAAGGAAAAAAAAATTAATTGGTATATTTCAGAGCTTTGTGAAATTGTTATATGAAAAGGGGTTTTTATGTTTATTTATAAAATTTTCACTTTGGTGGAAAAGCTATCTCCAAACCATGTTAGGTACTGGTGGGTTCCTCTAATTTGGAAGGTTGCATGTATTATTTTCTTATACTTTAAATGAAGTAAAATGTTACAGAATAAGCTAAGTCTGTGGTTAGTGTCACAAAGGCTAAAAGGAAAGGGAAGGCAAGGAAGTAGGAAAAAAAGTTAAAGACATTAGCTTCTCTACTTACCATACAGAGCAGGGAATTATTTTCTGCTATAGAGTGTAATTCTCAACATATTCTTAGACAGAAAAATGAAAACAAGTGTATTGAAGGTACGCAGACACAAGGAAGGAAGAATATCAGTAAAAGATTTACATTAAGAATGAAGGGCCCCACAGAAGTCATTTAGCTTTCAGATCAAGTAGACTTGATTTGTAGGTGTGCAAAATGCTCATAATGAGGCATCCAGACATGTTGAACTGATTTTAACAAACTTGAGGCTTGAAAATGGAATTCTTGTATTTATCATTCATATATTTTATTAATATTAAAATAGTCTTAAAACATTTAATATAATATAGTAAGAAGCTAAACAATAACGGATTTTTTTTCTAACCTACCTGTAAACAACTGCTATGCTCAAAATCTTTTTATGACTACAAAGAAAAAACACCTGATACATAAAGTCAATATTTATTTTCACTATGTGCTGAAATCTTAGCAGTCTAGTCAAAGAATTATTATTAGTACATATTTGATAATTGCAAAAAAAGAAAGAAAAATAAAATAAAGAATACTATGCTACAAAAAGTTGCAATGCAGTTAAATATGTTATACCCCTCCTAACATCTACTGCTTTTTCTGTTGTTATTCGCAGTCTTCCACTGTCCCTCTCAGTCCTGAGGATGACAGGTTCAAGGCAGGCATGGTAGGGTGAGTTGCTGTTATCCTGACTTCTTCACCAGAAGGAATATGATATTCATATTGATGTTTTCTTCTCTCTCACTCTAGCATCCACTTTGGGTCGTTTTTACATGTTTTCTAACACAGTTTACACCTTCCTCTCTTCACTGGTCTGCGAGCCCACATTGCATCCAAATGTACTATTTATGGCACATATTACATATTTTAGATACTTGTTCTTTACTCTCTTTGTCATCCATAAAACCACTTCTGTCCAGCTCCTGTGTCTTCATTTCTTTAACTGACCATTGCTGAGTTGTTTATAGTCTTGGTCCTCCAGTGTTAGCCTGTGCCCTGCATCTTAACATCCCATGCCTGTACTCCTCTACTCTGTACGCTGTGTCTTTACATCTGAAGGCCTCTGCTATCATGCCAGGTCAATATTTCTCTACATCATTATCCTAAACTCATAAATATTTCATTTTACATAGAAGAAATTCTTGTTACTACTGTCTGTATAAAGCTATGTTTATACTGTATAAAGGTAAGAAGAACAAATTAGACATAGCCACCTGGTCCTTAAAAGAACTGCTGTTACAGATAAAGCAAGTAAAATCTCCAGGCAGGTCAAGCAAGTTCAGACAAAGTCTGACAAGCCTCAGTCCTCAGACCCTGCAAACTCAGTACAGAGTTTGTGGCCTGTTATTAGCAATGGCAGTACTGTATTTACTGGAATACAGGGCTATGAAACATACAGTTATCATCTCTGCTTTACTTTAACATTGTATATTCTTTTATAAATGTGTAAAGATGTCGTGAATTAATTTAATTTGAATTGGCAATAGAGCTTCAAGATGGAGTGGCGGTGGTGTTAAATGCTCTATTTTATGAAAGAAAAAAGATACCTCATTCAGTAGTGTTTCTAGGTATAGTAAGTGGGTGGTGGTTTGTTTTGGTTTTATTTAATTCCATGGGAATAGGACCAAACATAAAAGTGTTTTCATCTCATACTGATAAAATAATATTTAAGGTAGCTGTTCTTTCTCCTGAGGGATTGTTTTCTTACAAATGTCAGTAATATACTGCACTTAGCTGTTGCTAAAGTTTGCAAAGTGTGGGTAAGTTTTCAGTTTATATTAGATTGTATTAACTGACCATAATCTTGCCTGAACAGTAGCGGAACATTTATTGTTTCTGAGCTAATATTGCAGTTATATTGAACAAAATGCTCAAGTGCTTATCGTGCACCTAGTGTGCACCTGATTAAAATGCCATCGTGCCATAAAACTTCAACATTCTTGACACAGGAGTTGCAGAAGTACCTGCTAAGGTAAATGGTGTGATGAAATGCTCTTTCATGATGGGGGTCTTTGTAATGGGTAGCACACACAAGAATTTCTTTATAATAATGCTGCTGTTCTGCATGTAGCTACATGGATATGAAATGTGACAAGTCCTTTGCAATAATAATTTGTGATAAATGCCTGTCTGTAAGTGAACATCTTGTCTTTTAAAGTGGGATTCAAATTCTTAAAAAAACATTTCAAGTACTGTTTTCCT